TAAACTTTAGTCTGCATTTAATCAGCTACACTGGAGGTCTTATGTATTTCTCAAATAATTCAAAAATCTTTACTCACAAAGCTCTGTAAGAACTAAAAGAAAAGGAATGAAAACATAGATGTAAAGACACTGCTAAAGCATGTCAATAACAAAGTTAGTGAGTGCACTTCAGTATAGAAATAGTGCATACGATACAGCAACACTGAATCAATATAGAAAATCAATATGACCTTGCACAACAAGCAGCACTGCAGGAATGAATAAGGCAGCCAGTCTTGCAGATCCTCCTGCTCACTGACAGACTGAGACACAGACACATCCTTCTCCATAGCCCAGGCAGAAGTTCAAGATACAAGACTAAAAACCTGCGCAGCCACAAGTTCCAGTTTGCAAAGTAAGAGAATAAATGCAATGGATCTTTTCCAAGCTAATTCCTTTTTTACAAACATCAGCCCACTATAAACTTTGTTTTTCTTATAACTGCATACATAAAGGGGTCACCAAATGTTCACTTAACAGCAGACTTGAGTGATTACATGCTTTGCAAGACTGACAAACTATTCTGGTAGAATAACAACTGCAGCCACCCACATTTTGATTTGGTTTCCCAAAAGCAAACTATCAGAAATGCTTAACGATGCTATGTGCTCGCATATGTCACAGTACATATCTACGTACCAAATTCCAACAAATCTATGTAACAAATTCCAGCTCATCCTGTTGGTGTGTCAGGTTCTGAGAAGCCACATTTGCTTGTTTGACCAAAGGGGTTTGTTTTTGAAATATCCCTTAAAGTTCTGGGCAGGCAGTTCCCTAAGCAGTTAAAAACACTTAAAGAAACCCAACCAAATTAATTTTTTTTAAATTATAAATAGAACTTTATTGATTAACTGTTGCAGTTAACTGCTCCTGAGTAATTGTTGCAGTTATTTCAGGCTGTGAGCAGACACCTTAGTGCATGTCTACATTTGGGAAGGTTCCATTGGTACAGCTGCTTCCATTCACAGGAAACCAATATAGATTTACTCCAAATGCACAGACCTCTTTTAAATAAAGTCAACCTACAGAAGGTAAATAACCCTGCAGATCAGTACTGGCAAAGGAAGTGTAAAGATGTGACTCACAGGTGTTACAGAAATACTGCTTACATAGCTTCCAATGAAGAATTAAAAAGACTTACTTTAAGAGCTGTTTTCTCACCCTCTTCCTATGTCAACATCACCAAAATGGTAAATTATTTTGCAGAACTGGTTTGGAAGCACAATCTGGAAACCTTCATGCTTTAGCAGAAAAATTTAAATCCTAACTTTTGAGAACATCACCTTCTGTGTGAAAAACAGTTTATTTAGCATTTTCTTTTCAGTATGTGGGCTGGATAGTTCCTACTACAGAATTTACAGAAGATTGCTAAAATAAATAGTTACTCACCATCCCTATCTGTGCAGAAACAAACATTCAGAAACTATAAGGAGTTTCCAAAACAAGATAAGTGTAAAAAGATGATGATAAAAACACTCCTCTTGGGTTTGTTGTTGTTGTTTTAAGCACTTTTCACATAGCTTGCTTTCCACTTCTCAGACTTCAGCATTTTTGTTTTTCAATCTTTTTCTGCTTTAAAGATTAGAACTGAATGGAAGCAAGGTCTAGAAAATTATTTTTTCAGAACAAAACTCAACTCCCTGAAATTTGAACAATCCATTGGAAATTTCAAGTCGCACAGCCAGCGACTCTACTGTTCTTTCTCTAGCTCCATGTAAAAATTTTGGCCAGATGCTGACACTGATATGCAAGGGTGGCTCTCAACAAGTCTGTCTCTGCCTAGGGAAAGGCAGAAATTTCCCTTACCTGCCTTTGCAATCAGCCAGATTTCCATCTGTTCTGCATACCTAAGCCACACAAGTCCATGAATGATTCAGCTCAGACAAGGGGGAGAGGAGGAACAGGAATCATGTGCTTTTGTTGAGGAAGCCAGCTTATAACAATGAACTGTTTTCATTGTTTTGCCATACAAATGCAAATAGTGCAGAGGGATAAGCAATCTGACAGCTGGGACTAAGTGGCAATTGGATTTTAAGAGGTATATGGTAGCAACATAAGTTTACTTTCAATTTATATACCAATTTACTCACATAAAGGCTTGCTTAGAAAATTAGGACTTTTGCCTTTTAGAGGCAGTATGGTAGAGAACGATGCTCTTTGTCCATATTGATTAGTTTAATCCAATCTTAAGTGAATTATACCAAAAGAGAACTTAGGTATCTGTCTGAAAAAGCTTCTAGAAGTGTCAAATAACTGAAGCTACATTACTGACTGCTGGTAACTAGAAACCTGCTTATATAACATTGGAGAAACAAGTCCAATTCTCAGTACATGGCATTACAAGACAAGAGTGGTTGGTGAGTGCATAGTATATTTTTACAAGAAACACACAACTTGATTGCTTCCTTCAGTTAAAATTGTTGCTATGAGTATTTTTATTTTCATAAATTGCCAATTTTCCCCCTCCAAAATTCCAGGTGAAAGAGCGATGCCCATTTGTGCATCAGGAAAAGAATACTATGTACTCTTGCTACTCACAGTGACAACTGGATTGCAAAAAACAAGAGCCCGGTTCAGAAATACGGCCAAGAGCAGCAATCACTTCAACCAACCCATGCCACTCAAAAGTGATGCACCTACTATAACTTCAGATTCCTTTAATATTCAAGAAATACAGATTAACTACAATGAACTAGCACATTGAAAATCATAAAATACCTCACACATTCATTATCTTTACCTACATGTACATAAAATGAAAGAGGTATTTTTGAAACATGTAGAATAAGCTACATCCCTTGTGATCTATATGTTTCCATTCACTACACAAGTTGTTATTCACATAGTTGTTATGTTAAACTACGTGTTTCAATAACATCACTAAATATCCAAAATTATTTACCTCTAATAAAACCATTCAATAATAAGATTTCATAGTATCGCTTATAATGCTATAAAAATGGTTTGCAAACAGTTGTACAAACTTAGTCCGCTTTTCTTTGTGAGTAAAACTGGAACCCTCCTAGAGAACTTTGCAGTACTTCTACTCAACACTTTTACAAGTGGGAAAGCTTAAAAATATACAAGTTCTGCTGTACTTCGTAAGTGCACCAACTTCTCTAATTTCTACCAAATTCACCTCAACTACATGTCACAGCATATGCTGCAGCTGAGATAGCTACAATACACAGAGTATCACCATACAACATCATAATGCTTCAACCCATACAGAACAACACCTTACCACTTCAGAAAGCTGCAAACACTCGCCCTTCTTGTTCTTCAGCCCAGCATTTTATACTCCCCATGTTCCTGCATTCCACCTGTGTGCCCTCTGCTCCCTTTGTGGTTGGTCAGTGCCCCTGGGCACTCCATGGCTCATTGCCTCCAATGCTGCTCACCTGCTGCTCACAGCTGTGCCCACTGGGGATGAAGCTGGGCTGAAGCCCCACTCCCAATTACTGCAAACTGTGTGCCTACAACTACATGCTCTTGGTCCTCCTAAGGCCTCCCCATAAGCATTTCATAAGCTGTTTTCCCTCACTGGCTAGTCTCCATTTATGTATTCCCCTCCAATGCTACTGTAGCGACACAAATTTCTTTCCAAGTGCCTTTCAATGTTACAGGGTAATGCACCACGTAATAAAGGAGGCATTAGGATAGCCATTTTTTACTTTCCTGTGTAAAAGGTTAGAGAGTTTTAAAGCACTTTTGAAGAACCGCATAACACCATTCTTTCTGTTCTCTGACAGTCTGACACACTTGAATGCATCTTGGGATGAAAGAGTAACAGCAGGCTCAGCTGGGTAGCAATTAGCTATCAGAGGAAGGTTGGAAGAACATCTACCTGCCCTATGACAGAGTCACACCAATGCCTTTAACCACATTTAAGATGATCACTGTCATGCCAGTCAGAAATACATGTGGAAACTACTATTTAATTGATATTTTCTTCAATATGCAGGAAGAAAAAATGGTAGAGCACATTTTAGGTGGGTACAAAAAGAGGCTATAAGATAAAGTTTAAAATTCAGGATTTATAGCAATATGTGTTTTTGCAAGCTACTGCTAGTAGCTGGTCAGAGTGCAGCAATTCATTACAAAGAACAGAAAGATAAACATGCTCTTCCACCGTTTCTCCACTGTGCCAGGCAAAATAATTTAATTTCATAGCATTTTGGTTTCAATTCCTGTCAAGGTTCATGTGAATCTTCTTTATGTTCTGTGAACTGACGATAACCTCATTTCAGTGAACTCCATGAGCTACTGGGGGAAGCTGATCAAAGCTGATTGCTGGACATAATTTAAGATAATCAATCATCTAGGCCATTTTGGCAGATCAGGCTGTCACCAAGTGCATGACTAAGGCACACAGATTTGCTTCTTCATAAATTATCTCATTCCTACCATATACCACTTGACTGTTTAAAGTAAGCAGCAGAAAAATTATTTTTAGAATTTTTCTTAAGAATGTAATAAATACTTCCCTTCCATATTTGGGTCATTTTCCAACATGCAACCGTTGTGCCATAAAAATGAAAACATCTCATATAATGACAACATTCTGGTCATTACTTTAGTTGAAATGGAAAAATACCAAATATTAGAATAATTTAAAAAGCAAATAAACTCCTGTCCCTTATTTTTTGACATCTTATCCGTTCTACCTACATAAGTGTTCTATTCTTCCAAAAGCTAAATAATTTGGAAGTTTCCTCTGGAAATTAGTACTACTAAGTGTGATCATTTCATTATGGTCATTTTAGCTGGTATTGTTACCATCAGTGATTAACAGGGTAAGATGAAGTGCAATTTGCTTATTGACTCAAAATGTGTTCATTTTAACTTGAGTTAATACAGATTTGAGGGTATCAGCACACACCACTTCTAATACTTTCATTGCAGAGACCTTTGGAGATTCCATTCACGAAAGAGTAAGATAAAATATTCAAAGTCCCTACCTTCACCTGACGATCCTGAAAGGTCTATGATGACATACACTCTCCCTTCTGGCTCCAAGTCAATCTGTAATCAAGAAGAGAAAAAGAAAAAAATGTCAAACTTAGAATGGTTTCCAAAGCAAGTGACTGCAGATGCAGGAAACCAGAAGTTTCCAAAACTCTCAGTCAAGGTGTAGGCAGGACACATCCTGCACCAATAGAGCCTCCTTTTGCAAAGAGGTGTTGAGAACCCTGCCACCTCACTGGAATTAAAAAGAAGTGTGCACACTTGGAAAGTTTGAGCTCAGTGAATTTTACATTTCAAACATTTAATGTACTGTTCCAACATACATTCGCACCACTATTTTCAAGAAAGTCAAAAAGTGCCACAATTGAGCAACTGTTTTACTGTTATTTATACTGAGCCCAGATATAGAAATGTGGAAAACAACACTGTGACAGCAAGACTGATCAGCTCTGGTCACAGAACGGGGGAAATGAACACACAGAGCTCATACAGACGGTTAACATGTGTTTAAAATACCCCTTTTGTGTCCCCACTGGGAGAAAGAAATACATGCTTTATCCTCTTTTTCTGAAACACAAAATTTGTTTATTTCTGCACCATTCTGGTGGATTTTAAGGAGTCTTTACCCATGAGGAGGTCACTTTCACTCAGCATGAAATACAGGTGCTCAGTATCAAGCTGCTGTACTTCCAAGACAGCACAGTCTATGAGAATAAGCTCTGGTTCAGGCATCACAATGAAGAACTTATTACAGATCTTCCTGTATTTCATCACAAGTTTCATCAGCAAATCTAAATATTGCTGGATTTGAGTATCTTAATGGTACAAAACAAATTAAAAACTATTTTTGCTGCCTCACATCTCTGAAAAATAAAACTGTAACTAAAACATTATGTACTCAGTAGCTTCTGCTCCATCATAGCAGTTGCTGTCACATGATTTCAGAGCCTGAGTGACGTGATGTTCAGTATGTCAATACTGTATTTTCAATCTGTTTTAGTAGCAAAACCATGGAGGTAAGATTGCAAGGGACCTTGTGTGCCAGTGTCAGAACCCAGGACATTCCTCTGGCTGCCATGGAGGACACAAGACCCTGTCATGAGGGCTCAGAGAGCTTGGCACAGAGCCCAAGACCCCTGTGACTTTGATTTAGCCCTTGGAAACAACAATTACCAACCTTATATGAAGAACTACAAGCCACAAAAGTTTAAGTAGAATGATAGTGAATTTATCACAGGGTGAAAAATAGATTTTTTGGGGTTTTTAGAATGGGGGTTCAGGGGGCAAGATGGAGGGATCAGGGCATGTCCAGCCTTGCTCCTTCTCCTTCTTGGCCTCCATCTTCTGCTGTGATGTTGGCACTTTTAGATTGGTTTAGAGTAGAAGCTCACTGTCTAACATAGGTGATATGTATTGGAAAGTAATTGTAAATATTGTACACGTAGTTTTTAGTATAAAGACATAACACAGCCCCGGGGGCAGGCTGAATGCCTCTGACTGTCCTGCTGAGAGGACCTCGGCTGGACAGGAGAAAAAATTTTATAGATAAGGAACAAAAAACAACCTTGAGACCGACAAATGAAGAGCTCTGACTCCTTCTTTGACCGCTGGGCTGGGGAAAGAGTGAGTAAATGAGGGGACATGATGCAAGCTCCTCCTCCACTGAGCACTGCTCTCCAGGAGAGGGCTGGGAGAAGAGTTCACAGGTCCTGCTGATGTCATCGGAACAACGGATCAAGCAAATGATCTCAGCAGCTGTATTGTAAATAGACCAGGCAGGAAATAATGCTAGCAAGGCCAGGGGTTGCTCAAGGGAGAGGAAAATGAAAGCATGGGTGTCTGGTTTTTTATAAATAATAGCATTGAATATCCAAAAAAGTCACTTTTAACAATTCCTGAATTGGCAGCATGAGTTTTGTGAGGGAGTTTTTGGGGAGTTTTTGGCTTTTTGTGTTTTGTTTTAAATAAAGCTGCTGATCTTGAAATACTGCTCCTCTCCCTTTGCCAGTTTTAAACAAGAAAAATATTAGAAGATCAGAAGCACAGGTGCATGAATAGACTTTGATGTCTATGCTGAGGGAGGCTTTTGAAAAACTGCTATAGCACTCAACAGATGGCTGTATTAAAGACAGACATGTCTAATGCTCTGTTTGTATCAGCACTATACACTGTTTGGTTAAGCTTTCAGTAAAATACTTTATGCAGTTCAAATCCCAGAGTGCATGCACACACATAAACCCCCAACATCATCCCCGCAGAACAATCAGGCATCTGGACAAGTTACTGACCACCATCACAAAATCTCAGTTCTGCCCCTTTAATTACAAACAGCATTGGAAGAAACTCAGGAAAAAGACTGGAGGCCTGAAACCAAGTTTCTATTACCCAGCAAGTGGACTATTTAAATTTACATTTTATTAGAAATGATGCTTAGTGACTTTGAATTGGAAATTTTGCTGATGCTCTAAGAAAAATGAACTATTTATAAAAGAAAGTCTTTTATAAAGAAAGCATGTTTCAGTCATCATATGTTCAAATGCCAGTAAGAATGAAATGGACATATTCTTATTTTCAGATTTATGAAATACCCACGTTTCATTTCAGTGACACTGACAGTCTTATCAGTCATATGAATTAGTGCTTTTGCCAGAAGCCAGGAGCTCAGCTGACCCTACATACAAAATGAAAACCCCAACAAAAGCAGAATCCCCTAGACTTAGAGGAACCCTTCTCTTCTTCTCAGGTCTTTCATGTAACAAGCCAAACAGAGGAAAAAAGGACCGATTTAATCTTAATTATTCATTAAAAATGTCTAATTTAATGCCTAGAAACATGACGGCATAAATACCTTCAAAATAGACTACTAGAATATGCATGTTTTTTCTTTTCAATCTGTGCATTAAGTTGTTCTTAGATTCTGCAATGTCATATTATAAATAAGTACCAAAAGATGCATACAGCAGAATCCAAAGTTCCCATGCGTTTTTCACTGAATGCTATGAAAGCTATCACATGTGAAGTGCCCTCAGACACACGTAACCAGAAACAGAAGGACTGGCCAAATTCAGCTGAATAGAACAGGCATCCTTGAAAGCAATGGAAATAGTCTGATCACAGCTATTCTGATTCTGGCCCTTCTCTTTGACTAAAAATACTTCTCTCTGAATGCAGCCTAGCATTTATACGTGCAGAGAGAACTTATGAGGAGACATCTAAAAAAGACTTTACTGCTCAAAAGGAAACAGGGAACAAGATGCAAACTAGGGATGGGACAGAGGAGTTGATACAAGAGCAGCTTTGCTGTAAGCAAAACACATTGCAAAATATGTGCCTTGCATACATACATCACATCTGCCACATGCAGCAAAAGATGCAACAACTGTGACTGAGAAAAATCTTTGATCACCAAAATATTTTACCTTCTTATTGACCCATGCTGTTGCTGTGACTTTTGCTGAAATACAGTTTTAGCATGTGCAAGTAACATTAATTAAAAAGGTAATTTAAACAGCTTCTATATTGCTCAAATAAGAACTGTGGCAGCATACTGAGATGAGTACAATCATTGCTGGAAAGCAGCACAGATAATCAAAAACTCCAGCCTGAATAAAACCTTTTAGTAGCCTGTTTCAGGGAACAAAAGGCAACCATCCATAAAACCAGACATACTTTCAGAGGAAAAAACCCATGTTGAAACCAAGGCCAAGCTTAGCATATTGAAGGCATTTATATAGTTTCACAGTCATTAATGGATTTTATTTTCAACACCCTTCTGAGACAGTTCCCCATATGCAAAATGAGATACTCCCAAAGGCACAAGCTAGACTAAATGACTTTCTGGCAAGTAATACAAGAAGCCTATGGTTAAACAAGAACTGAACTCTGGTCTCTGGAGGCCCAGACTGCCCACTGGACCATTCCTCCTTTCCTCAGTTAGGCTTCACTTTGTCCAGCAATCCTGTCTTCCAGCAGTATCAAACACTACCAAGAATTCTTTTCCCCTCTTTTTTTTAGACAGCCTTAATGGGTACATATCGAGGAAGCAATTTCTTTTCTTTTTCGTTCAGATAATCCTCATCAATAAAAACAATACCAAACAAAGTTTGCTGAAATATTTCTCTGCAGCATTTCCAATGGATCATAAATCTTCGGTAACCTGGAGTAATGGAAAATTTAATGAAACTATGCAGAAGATTGTGAAAATGGCCCAGATTTTCCTCAAGGTTTTTTTTTTTTTTTGCAAGTTTTTAACTCCTTAGTGTTCTGAAAAACTGAGCCCTAAACTCAGCTAGAAGTTCACCATTTTCTTCCTCTCAGGTGTAAGACATTATTTCCCATCCCTAAAAACATAAAACTTGGAGGGAATTCTCTTAGATGTGTTCTCTTAGATTCTCTCTGTGTTCCAACACAAGGATGTCACCTGAGATTTAGTGCACTGTACTCATTTAAAAGCCAACTTGTCTCAAGAGAAATTTAACGACAGTCATTGACATAAATCCAGATCTGAAATAAAAAAGGAGTGGACAAATGCAAAATTTGAAATTCCTAAAAGCAGAAAGGTTAAGTAAGTTTTACTCTGATCTCCCTCAGCTAGACAGTCTGGGAAACACAGCAAAACCCCTTCAAACCTAAAGCTGTTGAGGATTTTGGCAACAGTATAAAACTAAATGGACTGTATAAGCCATAGAAAGAATTAAATCATAAAACCTGCTTTGCACCTCTTCTTGTGATGTTCTAGGATTATCTGATATTTGGGTAGCTTAAAGCATAAACCTCCAAGCACATGATCTGTCACTGCAGATGGTTATTTGATTCATGTCAGACCTGGGAAGTCAAGATGGTTTAACCCTTCCTGAGAGCAGCATAACAAAGTTTCTTGTTGAACACACAACTTCTCTGAAAGAAGAAGGAAAGAGATTGTGCTTAAATTGTTGATAGCTGGAAAGGCTGAAGGGGGTGGTTCCCCTGTCTGTTGTTTTTAGAGGTATTTGCCAATTTTGCTAAATATTATTTCCATGTAAATGCATATGAAAATCAGAACAGTTATAATCTAACAG